CTTTTTACTATTTCCAGCCCTACTGAAACGCCTTCTTTATATAAGTCTTTGTTTATCTTCAAAACCAAAAACTCGTTTAGCAGCCACATACTATTTATATATAAAAGTATGTAAAATCAGTCTCTATATGCATTTTATTATTGTTACTTAAATCTTAAAGTAGATACAAATTAGTATGTTGAATAATTACTCACTATAAATGAAACCACTTTAGAAAAATCATTGTCAAGATACTGAATTATATCTTATTATCAAATAAAGTATATATCAATCAATACTTATTAAATAAAAGGTATATAAATTTATTAGCTAATGCTTAATACATACATTTTCTATTCTGTGAACTTAGATGTAGAACATAAAATACTGTTATGTACAAAGGGTAAAGCAGAAAATAGTCTGACCATGGTATAAGGACTCATATTTTACCAAAATATTAAATAATCTTATTGTTTCAAACACCAGTATGTTTGGATAGATCTTGACTCTTGAGAGAAAATTATAGTTACTGAGTTGCTTCATATCTTCATATAATGGCATCAACAAGTTCCAAATAGAAGTTAAGTTGCAGGTTATTGCTTACTGGCAGCATTTATGATAAGGTGGTATTTTAAGTATTCTAATATAAGTATTTCTCTCTACATGTATCTGTGTTCTAATTCGCTTCTACTGTCATCATTAATCTTGTTAACTATGAGCTGCATATGAGCAATAATCATTCATGATTATTAACCTGAGATTCTAGCAAGGAGCTTGGTAATCAGTAATTGTTAAAACTAAACAAAGATTTTTAAGCAGAAATTTATTTAAAATTTCAGCATTCCTTTAACAAAGATTGAACTCAATCTTGGCTGATGGTCATGATGATGTACTAAAGAGAAGGAAGGAAAGAACCACCATGAAATCTCACCACTACAATTGCTACTCTGTAGAGAATGAAGTGGCTTCTTAGATTAGATAATGTTTTCAAGTCAGAGTAGTTAGCTGCGCATCCAGGACTCTAATTAATGTCTGTTTCTTGAAATTAAGCCCTTGATTATTCTTATATAGTAAAAGATAGCCAAATAAGGCAATTGCTAGTTACAGTATTTGAAAAGTTCTCTGTATTTACTTTGAAATGAAGCCAGTGAGTTTTAAATGTATTCAGAATTACTATTTATTTTTAATTTTAAGATGTTTATATTTTCTAAGCATGTCTTATCTGATTAGGAAATAATACCTCTGGACATATCTTTAGTAACATAGTTTTTAAATGTAGATATATAAGGTTCAAAAATTGGTTTATAAATGAGAAAGCAGAATTTACTGCATTTATTAAAAAATAGTAGGAACTTTACTTAGAGTCATTTAAATGGAAAAAAATGAATCACTGAGTATATACATATCAGACTGGAGCAGAAAGAAATTAGAAAATTAAAGAGTATACGACAAGTATATGACAAGAGTTAGCATAGGTGCAGCTATGTCACAGACACATGGCATAGTCTCAGTAGATGTTGCTAATATTTTGATATAAGTAGATGAATAAAACTCAATTATTAGAAATCTTTTTACTTTTCATATTGTCCAAGTGCACCTTTCTTAGGACCCTTGAAATTTTTCCACGTTGACATAGCCAAATAGAGGATTAAGGAAACTGAAAAACACAGGGAAAGACATGAAGATGGAGAATTTGTTTCAAGAGAATAAAAAGATTTTTGGATTTTTAGCCTATTTACTCCTGTGGATCAAAGTAACCGAACTCAAAGGCTGAGTGTGTGTGTAGCTCAGTCGTAGCTCTCGGTTCTGAACACACTCTTGATGCTGTGGGAAGACTCTAACTGCGGACAGTGACCACCCAGAAATGGATGATGTTTAGCCATGCGCACTGCTCGCTGTGTTTTTGTTTCCCTTTGGAAAAACAGACCAGGTTGGGACCCAGCATGGCAGCCATCACTGAGAGTGGGAATGATGTTGCCACGGGTCAGAGGCAGCGAAACATCAACTCCTCTAGATAGCCATTATCTCAAGTAATGATTTATCCTCCACTGTCAGGATCTGTGCTGCCTTCCGTCACCTGAAGCCGTGCCACATCTTGCAGTGATCACTACCATTCTGCAAGCAACAACATTCCTGGTGGCCTGAGCCATCCCCATCTGAGTCCCTTCTCTCCAGGCCTGTGGGGCCTCTCTTGTTCCTCCATCCCTGCTGCTCCTCGCCTACTGCCTCTGCCCAGCCACAACCCTTCTAGCCCTTCCGGAGACCCTTGTTCCCAACCCGTTTTTACTGCATTCGATATCCCAGAGACATTTGACCTGTGACCACACACACTGTTTTGAAACTTTCTTCTCTTTCTTTGGCTTCTTTTGTCTTAACCATATTTTCTTCTGGTTTTTCATCTCTATGTTTATTGGCTTCTTTTCACCCCTTGAATGTTCCAGCTTCCCATGTTTCTATTTTTGGACATTTTCTGTTTTAATTCCAGATGTTCTAAGTAATCTCATCAGTGTCCAACACTTTACAATTTACATGGTTATGACTTTTATAGGGCTGTCCTAGATCTCTGGACAGATCTAACTGCTTATTAGATGTAAATTCTTGGGCTTTTGTTTGCTGTCCTGTACAACTTCCTGCCGTTCACACTATTTCAGTGTATAAATTCCTCTAATAAGAAATTATATAAACAGGAAAATTAAGGGCTGAGTATATGGCTCCATGGGAGAGCTCTTGTCTAGCATGTGGAGGACTCTGAATTCCACCCCTAACACCACAAAATGAGAGGGGAAGGGAGAGGGAAAGAGAGAGAGGAAAAAGGAGAGAGAATAAATTTATTTAAAAATTCTTTTGTATCACGTTATGTATCTTCTCTATTGCTAATTCTTAATGTAGATCCTCTAAAAATAGAAAATTTGTGATACATTTGGATATTGCAAAAATTCTCTGTTATAAAACAGTCAATCATGGTGCAAAGGATTGCTACCATTTCACCTAATAAAAAGGTTTTACCCAAGCAGCATAAACAGATATCTTTAGAAGAACTGGTTGAAATCATAACTCTGGCATATAATGAGTCATGCATTGAGGTTATATATGTAGGATTGACAGTATTCTGGAAAATAGCTAGAATCTGGAGAATTTATATAATAATAACAACATCTGTGTGGCAATGTACACATCACTGTCATATACAATAGGTTATATAACCTTTATACCAATGCTACAGAGTAATGTGTCAGTTATCCTGTTTATTGAGAGAAAAATACAGCGAGGAGAGGTTAAATCACTTTTCCAAGTTCATACAACTTACCATTGAGGGAGCTTAAAAAACTGCTTTGCCTAGATATAATCCTGTTCCCATTTGTCCTAAAGCATGTTGTCCTTGTGCTAATAAAATAGCTGAAGTTTTGAGTGGATGTACAATGAATATAATGTATATCTTACAATTCAGATGTTTACTGTTTTATTAATTAGATCTATAGTAACAGTGTAAAAACAAAAAAAAATATGTATTAGTTGTGTAATGTGATTTTTGATATAAGTATGCATTGTGTAATCAGGTAAAACATAGCTGTCTCCTGAAGCATTTATTACACCTTTCTATACACTCAAAAATTTTCTTCTAGCTTTTTGAGACATCCCGTGCATAATCACTCTCTATACTCATTTTACTGTATAGTGGCACACTAGAGCTTCTTCTAACTGTGCCTCAGTGCCCATTGGTTAACCTATCTCCGTTCTTCCTTTCCCAGCTTCTACAACCATCACTCCATCCTTAACCAGATCAGCTCTTCTATATTTCACATATGTATGAGATCATGGAGTCCTTGTTCTGTGCCTAACTTTGCTTAACATGATTTGCAGTTCTATCCATGTTGTCGCCAGTGACAGTATTTCATTGTTTAAAATTCATTTAAAAAATCTATTGGCATGGGCAAAATTGGCAACTGCTTCTATCCCCTCAGTATTTTCAGTGATCTTCTGCCAATGGCATGCAGCTCTAGCAAGGGGCCAAGTTTCAGGGCTGTGGGGTATATCACGCATTTTAGCACAGCTCACATTGCCTTAAAGCTACCCAATAAGACCTGGCTCAGTTATTGTCATGCAAATTTATCTTATCAAGCAGTTAATGGGCAGGATTTCAGTTTTACCATTTTAACTCGTCATAATTTAGAAGTTAACCTGACGAATTTAAATCCACTTAGTTTTACTTGATCAGTAATTTGTGTGTTGAATTTAAAACATTATTTTATGGAGGACAACTCAATTTCTGCAGAAATAAGCTACTCAGCATGAAACTTTAGTTATACTAAATTTTAAGACTCTAATACAGAATTATGTAAAATGCCCTACCTTATTTTAAACTTATTTTCATAAGACCTTGTTAGGATTGAAGAAACATAACTTTATCTATAAAATAATGATTATATTTGTTTTTAAAACATAATAAATTTGTGAGACATCTGAGACGTGAAAACCTACTTTGAGGAAGAAGTTTAATTTGGAATGAAAATTAATTTTACTTTGATGAAATTTATGGCTAGATATTTAGTTCCCATAAATAGGACTTAACCAACTGTTTCCAGGTTCTGTGGCCTGTATCTTCGCTATTAAATCACAGAGGTGTTTATAGGTATGATAAGTTCCACTTTTTAGATCCCTAGATAGTTTAAACTTTGAAATCAAACAAACTAGGATTCTGAAACAGTTACTTTTCCTTGAACACATTGGTATGTCACATCCCTGCTCTATAATTGTTAGTTGGTTATCATAATCCTAATACATTCCAGAACTAAGAGATAATGATGTCAGTTAATTATATAATTATTTTGATAAGAGATAACTGTTTAGGAGCAGTTTTTACTTTGTATTCATCCAAAAAATTAGTCTCCTGAATATGTTATGCAACACTACTGAATCTTAAAGAGCTAATCTCACTATTTTTTTGGACTCCAACATTTACCATAAAAGTGCTTTATAGCATCTATATAATTTTTTTCTTCTTTTTTGTCCCTTCTTTGTAGTTGTTTGAAATTACAGTGCCTCTCTCTCAAGGCCCCAAACCAGTAACAATCAGTTTTGCCAATCACACTTCCTGCCGATGCATGTCTAAACTGGATGTTTACAGACAAGTTCATTCAATTATTAGACGTTCCCTGCCATCAGCATTACCACAGTGAGTATGAATGAAACCTACTTTTTCTGCATCCTCTACTAATATATAATTATTTTCAAGTATAGACCACTTTATTAAAAGAAGTTTTGTGAAATTTGCTATGCTTTGCATCAAATAGAGACAAATTTTTTAGTATTTTATGAAAATAAAATTAACTAAATAGGGAAGCCCATTTTGTAGGCAGGGTGACTCACAATATGTAGAAAATAATTCTATGAAATAGCACATCACACTAGCTGATGCTATTAGTAAGAGATCCCAGTTGCTTTAACATTCATGAAAGCAGGTGTGCTAACTCAAGTGATGTTAATGTTTAAAACAGTTAAGCCTTGATAACATTTAATTCAAAGACAAAAGTAACCGTAAACGAATGTTTATATCTTTTAGCACTCAGTTGCCGTTTTTATAATTTCATGCTCTTTCTTTCACATACTTTCTTATAATTTACATTATAATTGAAATTAGATGATAGGTAGGTAGGTAGGTAGATAGATAGATGTAAACCTGTTTCTTATATCAGCAAAGATTGGCTTTTGAAATAGTAGTTAATTACTGGAATATCTCTGATCCTATTACTTCAAGTTAACCTTCAAAATTCATTTGTTATTCAAATTGCCTTCCCATCTTTTTTAAAAATTTGACTAATACCACAAATTGAGAAGGAGGTGAAGATAACATTACATTCTCACCGTGTAAAAGATTTGTACTGAGTCAATATGCAATGCCATTTGAGCTCTAGGAAATTTCTACCCCCAAATAGGGATATTGCTGTTTGTTTTTAAGATCTCCAGGGCATATGGAATGTACATTTAAATAAAGCTCGTATAACGCCAACATTTATTTTTTAAAAATATAAATAAATTAATGGACAAACTTAGGTATTACAAAAATTTGAGGAAATCCTGCATCTTGGGCAACTCAGCAATAGAGATAATATGCCAATAGTGGTCTTCCCCACTGAATTTCTTCACACTGCTCTACTAGTGTGGCAGATGAGAGGCCCTACCCAGAGACACTCTTAAGAAAATTTAAGGATAGTCGGATTGATTGACAGAAGTCTGTCCTTGTCATGAAGAAGACAAAATCTTCCAAGCGTCTCTGAATAAATTTGTACTGCTATGTATGGGATAACAACCGCCTGAACTAAGGAGTATATCCTGGGACAGTTTCAGTACTGCACTCCTAGGAGTTTGATTTCCTTTCTCAGCCCTGTTTCTCGTGGCAACTCACCCATTCTGAGAAGGTTAGCCATTGTCTCTGTGCTCAGTGCTCATGATTTCCAAAATTACGTTTGAAGATCTGACTGCAGTCTTCTACTACCAGTATTTTATCTAAATTATCATTCATTGCTATGTAATTAATTATACTGGATCTAAGTGCAAAAGCAAAGATTGATCAACTTTTTATTTTTCTGCTGTTTATAGCAGTGTTGTCTCTTAATCCTTGAGGTCTTGAAGTCATGCAGTCCCATTTATTACTTCCTCTTTATCCCCTCCAAATATGGCTGGTTATTTCGGGCGAGGGAGAGAAGTCTGCTCCCACCTAAATTTGCGGTTCATATTCATCACTTCCATCCTTCATGCACTCTACTCTGCTCCTGCTTGAATTCATGCGGTGCTATCAATACCAGTCTTATAGTATCAGATCTTTCTCTCACTCTTATATAATGTTGTAAGTGAACTTTGCAAGTATCATTTCATTTGTCTTACTAGAAAATGACTGCCAACTAATAAAGCATTTAGCTCAAATCTCTTACCATCCTGCTCTGCTAATGGCCTTTCTTCTTTGTTTTGGCTTTTATTATTCACCAAGTCTTTGTTTCACAAAATCTTGATTCCCTGAACACTGGACTCATTTCCTGCTCTGTGTCTTGTTTCTGTTCTGCCCTGACTTGAAATAAGTTCCCTTTTTTTTCTCTGCCTTTCCAGAACCCTTCCTGTTTCTCAGAGTTCAGGTGAAGGTCTTTCTCCTGCACTGTCTAGTTAAAATACCATGGTAACCTTTACTTCTTGAATACCTAGAGTAATTGGAGGATTTGTAATATGCCCTTGTGTGGCTTCATCAGTGGCTATAAAAGTTGCTGGTGAAACTGGATTGGGAGAGTGTTTCAGATAGTTTAATGTCATCCATAATATCTAACTAAAAGCTCTCAAAAATCATCCATCCATTGCACTGTTCTTGATCTTTCACTTTCACTGACTCATGTAATCTTCACAGAAAGTCTTCCACGAGGTCAGTGCTATTTGTTAATTTGGCAGATGAAGCAAGCAATACATACGAAGTTCTGGAGAGGACTCCATGAAATATGAGCCCTTTATGCAATCCTTAGCATAGTGTCTGCCATGCACAGGCAGTCACTGAAGAACAGACAATCATTAATCTCCAAATCTGATTTATAGCCTTCTCTCTGTTTTTTATATTTTCTTTACCACTAAACACAATAAGAAATACATGTTGTATTCCAACCAATATATGTGTGATATATATGCATGTATATATACACACACATAAGATATATGTTATATAACATATAGTTTTGCAATAACTTAGTTTTAAGTTATAACTTTATATGTAGTTATATATGAGTATAAAAATAAAGGTGTATCATGTAAAATAATTTCCCTTATTATGCCACAGTTCACTCTTTTTCATTATCCCCTCTCAAGAACTGACTGGTACTTTTCCTACTCACTCCCACCGTGAAATTTTAATGGCACAGATGGTAATATGTATCTCTTTGTGGACTACTTGTATATTTGAGCTTTATAAATAAGAGTGAAGCATGAAATTTACCTTCTTATTCAATATAGGGTTAAAAGGACAAACTAATTACATAAGTTGAAAGTTAAATTAAAAACTTTAAATCTAAGGTGCATTAGTAAACCCCTGTAATCTCAGTACACTGAGAGGCTGATTCAGAAGGTTTACAAATTGGAGGCTGGCCTGGCCAACTGAGAGACATATGTAAAAAGACTCCATCTTGAAATCGAAAATAAGAAACGGGCTGGGGATGTAACTTAGTGCAAAGACCTTCAGTTCAATCCTTAGTACTTCCAGAAAACAGACCTATTAACAACAAAAATGTATAACTATTTTTACCGAGGAATAAAAATGTATAACTATTTTTACCGAGGAATAAAGGTAATACATTTACATAAATGATAATATGTCAGATTACATGTACAAACTAGCAATTGCTATAAATGTATAACAATGCAAATATAAAAATTTGTACACTCCTCAAATCATTATGTTACCATCAAGAGTACAATGATTTTTAAAATAATTATTTTTTTAAAATTTTATTGATACATTTTAGATGTACATAATGATCACATTTATCATAGGGAATTTGTACCTGTACATGATATATCCTGATTCTTCTGTTTTCCCCAGTCCCCTTCAAGTCCTCTTGATTTTTAAAATAACTACTAAAAAAATTTAGAGAATGTAACGTATAACCTTTGCTGGGTGTGAGAGAACAACTACTTTTAACTTTAGCTGATTGATCTTCATTCGGATACTGTGAACTTTTGTCCTGTCAGTGGTGTATGCATAGCTTTTGTAGGGTTAGTAATAAATATAAACTGTTTTCATTGTAAGTATTTAATTTTCTATAGTCAAATCACACTCAAAACCAAAGACCCAGCATACGCAAAGTGGACAAGACAACCAGTCACAGCAGAGGGCACAGATAGGTTCCTCCCCCCAGGTGAATTTGAGATTGCAGAGGCAGCAGACGTCCTCCCACCGTGGCCATCTGTTCACCATAACTGTGTAGCTTTTCTCTTGCATGTGCTCTGGAGATCTGGTGCCAGTGCACTTATGTAATAGTGAATAAAACCCAGTAAAAGTTAAGTAGTGAGGAATACGATTTCTTTGGGTTTGCGAGGCCAAAACCCACTGTAATACCAAGATTTCCATCTCCCCATACCCCATTTTTACCCTCTTAATGATGATATTATTCCCATTATAATGTGTGACATATTACATGTGACTCACCTAAATATTTTTTATTTTCAATTCTATTTCTTTTTTTGACAGTTTTGGTCTTTATCCAGTTGTGAATTAAGCCTACAAACTAATAAAAAGAACTACTATAATGATAATGTATACAGGACTGATGAATAGCTATGTTGTAAAATCTAACCTTGCTTAAGAGTTAAGAGAAGCACCACAATTGCTAAAATTAGAAAGATTAACAAAATAAGTGTTAGAGAGGAAGTAGTGGAACTAAAACTCGTATAATTCCTAATGTGAGTGTAACATGGTTCAACCATTTTTCAAAACAGTATAGCAAGTGCTTATGAACTTAACACATAAACTTACAATGTGATTCCATAAACTGCCTTCCTAAGTAGTGCCAAAATACACTCATACATGCGTATGTCCACACAATAACTTGTCCACAGATCTTCAGTAACCAGTAACTGGAAACAACTGAATGTCCAGTGAAGATGAATGGATAAACGCATTGCGCTGTGTCCATAGAGAAGAACATTGCACAGCAATGTGAGAATGAACTGTGGAAGTGCACAGCAATACGCACAGATCTCAAACAACATTAATCCTGGTGAAATAAGGAAAACAGAAAGAGTACATGCAGAATGATGAGATTAGCATGGAAACGCAGAAAAGATGATCTAAGCTCGATGGAGGGAGCGCATGTCAGCAGTAGCTGAAGGATGTGGATGGAAAGAGTGGAAAAGTCGGCAGGGACAAAGGCGCATTGCAGTAGAATGGGAATGTACATTTGATTGTGGTGGTGGTTTCATGGATACATAAGTTTAGGAGAAGACACTGAATTTAAAATTAGACCACATAATTGTGTCCAAATTATCTTCCAAAAAGCAAGAGAAAAAAGGCCCTTTTACCAACTATAATTTTGAAATTAGGTTTAAAATTGTAGACTTTGTAAAACCTTTATGAACTTAAGGGAAATGTTTTGCAGTACTGAAGACTGAACCCAGGGTCTTCGCACTGAGCTACTTTTCCAGCTC